TTTAATATGATATATTTTATTCCTCTTTTACTTTATGATTACTTTTTCTTTTAAGAAACGTTTTCCCTACGCCAAAGTAGAAATATATTTCTATGTGAATTGCTAAAAGTTTTGATTTTGCCTTTTATATTTGGGTCTACATTCTATCTAGGATTGATTTTTTTTTTCTTTCCTTTTTTGTATGTGGTATGAGGAATATATTTTCTAATCTATTACTAGATAAGAAATTGTGCAAGCGTCATATACTGACAATAGCATTTTTTCCTTACGGTTGTTCTGTGCTGAATTTGTCATAAATCAAATGTTCATATAAGTTTTTAAATCTGCTTCAGGATTTTCTGTTCTGTTCCATTAGTTTGTTTTCAAATTACATTGTGATTTCCAAGTTAACTTTGCATTTTTGGAATAAATTCAACTTGATCATAGTATGCTATCTTTTTGGTATGTTGCTGAATTCTTTTTGCACTATTTTTAATAACTCTGCATTTGTGTTCACATATGAAACTGGCTTGCTATTTTTCTTTATTTTCTTTTGAAATTTGGTATCAGGGTTATGCTTGCCACGTAACTCATACAGAGTATTTGTTACATTGGCATTATTTTTTCCTTAAGAGAATTCACTGGTAAAGCCATCTGACCCTGGAGTTTTCTTTGTGTGAGGTTATTAGTTACAGATTTAACTCTTTATAGATTGTAAAACTATTCAAGTTATCTGTTCTTCCTTTCTCAGTTTTGGAAAGTTGTATTTTTCTGTGAATCTGTCCATTTTATCTAGTTTTTGAATTAATGGCATAAAGTTATTAATATATTATCTCTTTATTGCCTATAGAATTTGTGCTGTTGACCTTTTCATCTGAATACTCTTTATTTGTGACTTCTCTTTTTTCTCTTAATCAATTTCACTTTGATTAAAAATATTTTTGTTTTGTTGTGCTTGCTTCTTACCGTTTTCTTTCAGTCTGAGGACTCATTGCTATGTAGTGAGTAATTCTTTGCTATTTTTATTTAATTATTTCCCTCCCTCTCCTTTCTTTATTTTCTAATTCTGGAACTCCTACTAGCTATGTGTCAACTTTTAGATCAAGCTTTTGTGGTATGCTTTTTTTCATTCACCTCATCTTTATCTATGCATTATTCCAGTGGAATCCTCTGGTTATGCTTCTATTTTACTTATTTGATCTTTGCTTTTTTGTAGTTGTTGTTTATTAATTTCAGCCACCACACTCTTCCTTCTTGAAGTCTTTGCCACATACAGAAAAACTTTTTAAAAAAAATTTTTGTGTTTGTATTTTTTATTTATTTATTTTTTATTATACTTCAAGTTTTGGGGTACATGTGCAGATTGTGCAGGATTGTTACGTAGGTATACACATGCCATGGTGGTTTGCTGCATCCATCCCCCTGTCACCTACATTAGGTATTTCTCCTAATGTCATCCTTCCCCAATCTCCCCACCCCCTACTATCCCTCTCCTAGCCCTCCCACCCACCAACAGGCCCCAGCGTGTGATGTTCCCCTCCCTGTGTCCTTGTGTTCTCATTGTTCAGCGCCTACTTATGAGTGAGAATGTGTGGTACTTGGTCAGAAAAACTTTTTATATAGGTAATAGAGCATTAGCTCCTATCTACCTCTATGTATTTTTTTTTTTTTTTAGATGTCTACTTCTGGCCCATGGAAGGTATTCCTTTTTGTTTTCAAGTGCAGCATTATATTAGTATTTTTTATGTTATTTCTACATAATGTAATTTAGGTTGGTGGTTAATACTGTGAAGTCTGGAGGCAGAGAACCAATGCTCAAAGCCAAGCTCTGCCTCTTTGATATGTTATTCAAACCCCCTGTGTCCCATATTCCTTACTTATGATAATACCGATAAAAAATAATACATATCTCATGGATTTTGTGAGGATGAAACAAGGCAATAGAAGTCAAAATGCCTGTCATATAACAAGTAATCAGTAGATATTAACTCTTGTTAGTTGAGTAATGGTGGTAGTAGTACATAGTTATCATTATGTGATCAGAGTAGATGGCAGAGATTTTGCTGTGTGTTTATATTTGGCCATACTAAAGTTGAAAATTGAGTCCAATGGACTTAGATAACTTATGACTTTTTTTTTCCTTTTCTACAGCTTGATCCTGAGTTCGAAAAAAGACTGAGAGCGAATAAAATTACTTTAGAATCAGAATATGAGGTATGGTATGTTAATATAGTCTCTGTCTTATAATAATCAATTACTGGTTTTATCTGCCTTAAAAGTATTAGTAGTACAGAAAGAAATTATCTTGAATATATGGTATTTGATAAACTATATAGCCATTTGAAAAGAAAATGAAGATGGATCCATACTTAATATACTAAAAATAAATAAATTCCAGATGGATCAAGAATTTAAAAGTAAAAAAACAAAATGTCTAAAGTACTAGGAGAAAATAAATGGAGAATTTTATTTGTTGTCTTAAATCAAAAAAGCCTATTTAAATGTGGCATAAAACCCAGAAGCCCTAAAAGTAAAGATTAAGAGGTTCATACATACAAATTCAAAAGTTCAGACTGAAAAAATGTATATAAAGTCACAAGTTACATGAGAAATCCTAAAAATATAGTTTAATCTTACCATGGCACATTAAATTACTTAAATATGAAGACCATCTCCAAATCAATGTGAAAAAGTTCAGCAATTCATTTGTTCAGTAAGAACATGGGAAACCATAGCATGTAAAACTGTTGGACAAAAGGAAATAAGTATCATTCTTAAACATATAAAGAGATGTTCAACTTATCGTAGTAGGAATGTCAAAGTGTAATGAGGTATGATTTTTCATCCATCTGATAGCAAAAATTAAAATAGCACACTGTATTATGAGATGTGATGACGGAGGATGTTCTTCATCTCTTAGAGTTTGTAATTTTTTTTTTTTTTTTTTTTTTTTTGGAGACGGAGTTTCACTCATGTTACCCAGGCTGGAGTGCAATGGCGTGATCTCGGCTCACTGCAACCTCCGCCTCCTGGGTTCAGGCAATTCTCCTGCCTCAGCCTCCTGAGTAGCTGGGATTACAGGCACGCACCACCATGCCCAGCTAATTTTTTGTATTTTTGGTAGAGACGGGGTTTCACCATGTTGACCAGGATGGTCTCGATCTCTTGACTTCGTGATCCACCCGCCTCGGCCTCCCAAAGTGCTGGGATTACAGGCTTGAGCCACCGCGCCCGGCCAGAGTTTGTAATTTTTTTTTACTGGATTATATTTTCCTGTTTCTTTGAATGTCTTGTCATTTTGTATTGAAGGGTAGTCATTGGATAATACACTGAAGAAAGTTCTGAAGAATATTGATTTTTATTTTACTAGACAATTTAATTGTTGGCTAGTCACCTTGAACTTCGTTTTGTGCTACATTTGTAAGGATGTATCTGTTGAAAGGCTGCTATCTTTCCTTGACCCTTCTCCCTTTTGGGATTCAATCTCCAAACTGTCTCTCCAGAGAATCTTGTCAAAGCTTGGCTTTAAGATTTGTTGGGATGAGTCTAAAGAAAGTCTTATTCTCAGGCTGGGCGCAGTGGCTCACACCTGTAATCCCAACACTTTGGGTGTCTGAGGCTGGTGGATCATCTGAGGTCAGGAGTTCGAGACCAGCCTGGCCAACATGGCAAAACCCCCATCTCTACTAAAAATACCCAGCTACTCAGGAGGCTGAGGCAGGAGAATTGCTTGAACTTGGAAGGCAGAGAGGTTGCAGTAAGCTGAGGTCACACCATTGCACTCCAGCCTGGGCGACAAGAGCAAAACTCCGTCTCAAAAAAAAAGAAAAAGTCTTATTCTCAGGCATAATTTTTCCTCCCAAAGAACAGCCTTTTTGGTGTCTTAGGTGGATGTCAAGGTAGCAACAAAGTGTTAAAAGAGAGGTCTCCACTCTGGCAGGCCTGAAAACTCCATATTCTTGACACTGTTTTTTCTTAACATTTCTTGACGCTGTTCTACACTCAGGCCTATTCCAGTTGGTTCTGAAGTATTAAGTCTTGGGTGGTTTTTCTGAGCACATTTACACAGCCCATTCTTTAGCCACTGTGCATGTTTTGTAGAATTCTACAAGGACTCTCCTTTACCAAAGATCTCTAAAGACTAGACCACTTTTACATGAACTTGTTTTTTCAGAATTATCTTAAATTCTGTTAAGCATATATATCTTATGTTATCTGAATAATGGCCATTATTCTTTATTAAAACCTTTAAATAACTAGATCATTTCATAACTATATTTGAAAATACTTTAAATTCTTCTTGTATGCTAAACTAGTTGAATTTTGTTCCTTCATGTATATATTTAATAGAGACTCCTGGTAAAACTGTAAATGAACAGTATTTTCATTCACTACTTTCCAATTGATTAAAAAAAAAAATCGTTTAACTTGCTACCTGTAGTTATACAAGTGCTATACCTGTAGTGATGCTATGGAGAGTTTGTCTGGGAGTAGATTTTCCTTCTAGTTCTCCTAAGACCTATAGAATTTGAGAGCTGAAGAAACCATGCAGACTATTTGGTCCAACCTTTTCATTGTTACCTAATGAGACAGTTAATGCCCAGGTGGCTTAAATCACTTTCCAAAGATTATATAGCTAGTTAGTAAGAGGGTAATGCTTAGTATCCAAGTGTCAAGGTAAATTTATGCCATTTTCCCTGTCTCTGGCTATAAGTTATCCTGTGTTTTCTCAGCCTTTTTTATTTTTTTATTTTTTTCTGTCTTACTCCATTATTCCAGAACAACTAGAACAGCAGATATGTAAAAGTTCATGTCAGAGTGGTGGTCAGTAGGAGAAAGGTGAAGAAACATTTATGTTCTCCTCTTTTATTTCCACGTTTATTTTTGTGCTTGAGAAGTGCTTCAGACTAAATGAAAGTAGGATAATCCATAATGTAGTTGCAACTAATTTCAGTTGCCCAAGGGTGTTTTACGTATGGTAGCTGTAGGAAAAGTCTTTTCATTCTTAAGCCCAGGCATAAGACAAATTATCTTGGTCTCTTTTCTTTTTTGTAGAAGACTTTAGGGTCTCCACCTTTGTTCTTTTCTTCTCGTTTTCTGCCATTACCCCGATAACCCTTTCAGTCACGGTTGTGCTGGATCAGCCTTTAGATTTGTACTTTTGTTTTCCCAGCTTCGTCCTTTTCCTTGTGCTCTCAAAAACAAGGCCTGTAGACTCTTTGTCTATGTTAGTAGTTTTATGGTTAAGGTGGGGTAAGATAGGCATTAACATCAATAACAAACAAGAAAAGTTCTAAATCTTATGATGACATTTCATCAGTGAATATGATTGTAGTTGATTATTTGCTACAGTTGTAATTGAGGACCTATCAGATACTTTCCACTCATTTATCCATTCAGGCAGTTGTGTCCTAATCAAAGCCACAGGGGTCTTACACTAATATTTATACTTTAATTTTTTGTGGTTCTATAGAAAATAAAAGACTCCACTTTTGATGAATGGAAGAATATTCGAGGACCCAGGCCTTGGGAAGATCCTGACCTCCTCCAAGGAAGAAACCCAGAAAGCCTTAAGACTAAGAGAACTTGACTATGCTGATTCTTTTTTCCTTTTTTAAAAAAAAAAAAAAAAAAAATGTTATAAACTGGACTTCCTAATACATACCACTATAAAGTGGAAAGGAAATTCCAAGCCCATGGAAATTTGGATGTGGGTAATTTGATGACAGATAATCTTAATAAAAGTCAAGTACAGGTTTTTATACTTCTCAGCTATTCCATCTGCAGATGAAAGTAACAATGTTTCAGCAGCATCACTTACAAAAAGTAAAAAAGAAAAAAGAAAAAAAAAGTAACAATGCTGGCCACATATATTTTACACCTTGAAATAAAAAAATGTGAATACTGCTCCTAAGAGAGTTGTGTATTCTACTCTCCAACTACCCACATATTCCTTTTGCAGTAGCCACTAGGGCATCATTTTGATATTTCATTCTGATTTCTAATGAGGACAGTAGATCTAGATCCAAATTCTCACAGTAAAATCAAGCATTAATTTTCTTCTATTAGGGAAGGAAAAATGATCACAATCTGATAAGAGTCTTACATTTCTTTGTAATACCTCATATAGTATGATAATCAGCTTCCAAAGCATCACCTGATAATTACACTGATACCATTAACATGTCAAGGAAATTATATTATTTCTGATTGTCAAAAATTATGAAGTAGTATATGATTATAAGCAGGTAAGACAAATTTCAGTAAATCCACAGATGACTATAGTTTCAGAAATACTAAGATATGCTTTATACCTTAGCATAATTTGTATGCAAAATGACCCTCTAGTGTTGTTTTGTTTTGTGTTTTAACTTGGGATTTGCAATGATCTGATCCCTGGGCAAAAGGATAGAATTGAGGAAAGTTTGGGTTTTTTGAACTAATTTTCTCCTTTTTATCTCTGTCTTTGTCAGCTTCTACCTTGTGGTTTTATGCTGAGTTCTAGCTGCCTAAAGTCTCCATTGAAACCCTTTATAATTACCATAAAATTATAAATCCACTCCACCTTTCTGCTCCTAGTCAAAATTTGTTGTCTTTTCAGCAGGTTGGTTTTAAAAAAAAGTAAATTAAGTTGATTATCTAGTGATGATAATTTGTGATAGAAATGATTCAGAGGATAGTTATCAGGGGGAGCAATTGGATTTCATAGGGAAAAAGAGAGGCTCTACTTATTATTCACTCATTAAACAAGTAACAAAAAAGGATCAGTGATTTAAACATAAAACATAAAAGTATAAAACTTTTAGGAAAAAGCCGTAGGAGAAAGGTTTCAACTAAATAGTTCTTGATGAATTGCTCTTACCAAAGAATATTCATAAAAGAAAAACTTGACAAATTAATCTCATCAATATTACAAACTTTTGCTTGCCAAAGGTCCTGTTAAAGAATGAAAAATGTAGAGATTGAGAGAAAATACATGTAAGCCACATATCTGGCCAAAAACTCACATCTAGAATAAAGAACTCTAAACTCAGTTTAAAAAAATTCAATTAGAAAATGGGCAAAAAATAGACATTTCATGGCAGAGGATATACTGATGGCAAATAAGCTCTGAAAAGAATGTTTGACATCACTATGAAAGAAATGCAATTTTAGATTACATTGAGATCAATACACATCTATTAGAATACCTAAAAAAAAATTAGTGATAGTATGAAATGCTGGCAAGGATGTGGAGAAATGAAATCTGTCACACATTGGCAGTATCACGTAAAATGGTACCACCAGCCCAGAAAATTGGCAAATTTTTTTTTGTTTATTTCTTTGGCAATTTCTTTAAAAGCATAAAGGACTTCTGTTTTACAGTTTGACATGTAAAAAGCTTGAAAATTTTAATCCCCATCATAACAAAGAAAAAAGCTGAACAACTAAAAATCAACTCTTTGATCTGTCAGAGAACTGAAGTCACAGGACAAACCGCCACCCTGAAAACTGGAGACAGGCAGGTGCAGAAAATCATAGTTTACCTGGAAGATAACCTGCCCAGAAACTGCCACTGGAGCCAGCATTGGGTAGGACTATCTAAAAGTAATTGAATAATTGCTGGAGGCTGATCATGGACTACATTTGAAAGAAAATCTCTTAAGAGGAGGCCAAGCCTTGTGTGGATTGGGGAAAAGACACTTGTGAGTTTTACCTCTAAGAGTCCCACTGGGTTTTCACAGTATCAGAGAAAGATTTCCTTGTGCTTCTAGCAGGCGTAGGTGAAAGTAACCATTCTAAAATATGCCCAGAGAATTCTGTTTTCTTTAATGTAAGCCTGGCCCCAAAGTAAACTCTTGTTAGAACCTAATTGCATTGGGTTTTACCAGTGTCTAACCAACTGGAGGAAGGGAAATAACCCCAGCCTCCAACCTTCCTGTTTCACCTAAATGGGGGTCAGGAGAGGTGAAGGAAAACTTCAAAGTACTTGTGAATGTCCAGCCTGGGGACCTAGGCTTACTAAAATGTCTAATCGGAGGACTTACAGATTGCTGCCCACCACATATATTACCACCACATCTCTAAAGGTGTATTCACTCGAGTCCCTTTTACCCAGTACATCATGTCCAACATTCAACAAAAATGAAAAATGAAAAGCACAGTTTGAACAGACAAAGCAAGCATCAGAATCAGACTCAGATATGGCAGGGATGTTACAGTGATCACACTGGGAATTTAAAATATGATGAATATGATTAGAGCTCTGATGGAAAAAGCATACAATGTGCAAGAACAAATGAGCAATAAAAGCAAAGAAGTGGAAGAATTAAAAGGAAATTCTGGCATTAAAAAACTAACAAACCTTTAATGAGGTCATCAACAGTGGACAGAACTGAAGAAAGAGCGAGAAAAGTACATATAGTATGATAACACTAATCAATAGAAAGTTGAGTAGTTGTATTCATCTCGGACAAATCAGACTTCAGAGCACTGAAAATCATGGAAGAAGAGGGTCATTACATAATGATAAAGGGAGCCCATCCTCTCCAAGAAGACATAAAAATTCTTAAAATATATAAACTGAACAAAGCAAAATACTGGTAGAATTACAAATATAAAAGTAGGTAGAAAATCATTGAGGACGTAGTTGAAATAAAGAGCATCATCAATCAATCAGCTGTATCTAATTGAAAATCTATAGTGCACTTCCACAACAACAGAAGAGGCATTCTTCTCAAGTTCAAACAACATTCATCAAGACAGACAACCATGTAACACACCTCAACAAATTTCAAAGGATGACAATCATACAAAGTAAGCCCTCAGACTATTATGGAATTAAACTAGAAATCAATGACAGAACGATAGCTAGAAAATTCCATAGTACTCGTAGATTAAACAACATTCTTCTAAATAACACAGGTGTAATGAAATTTAAAGAAATTAAAAATATTTTGCACTAAATGAAATAGAAAATACAACTTACCAAATTTGTTGAATGCAGCAAAAGAGGTGCTTTGAAGGAATTTTATAGAATTGAATGTATTTAATAGAAAAATATATATATATACAATTCATGTATCTAGTAAGGGACCTGTTCTAGAATAGTTGAAGAACATTTATGATTCAACAAATAAAAGAAAAATAATCTAATTAAGAAAATNAGCGTATTGCTCTGTTGCATAGGCTTGAGTAGGGTGCCACAGTCATAGCTCACTGTAGCCTCAAACTTTTTGGCTCAAGCAATCCTGCCTCAGCCTCCCGAGTTGGGACTTTAGGCACATGCCACCATGGGTCTGGCTAATTTTAAAAAAATTTTCTATTGCAATGAACAATCCAAAAATGAAATTAAGAAAAAATTCAATCTACAAAAACATCAAAATAAAAAATATTTAGAAGTAAACTTTTAAAATGAAGTACAAAACATACACTCTGAAAATGTAAAACAATGCGGAAAGAAATAGGGCCTACATCAATGTAAAGTCATCCCATGCTTATGGATCACAAGTCATATTAAGATGTCAGTATTCTCCAAATAGATATGAGATTCAATGCAATCCCTACCAAAATTACAGTGTTCACCTTTTCAGAAATGGAAAAGCCAATCCTCAAATTCTATGGGAATTCAAAGGACCCAGTCAGTATATTCAAAACCGTCTTGATAAAGAACAAATTCGGAGGACTAACACGTGCTGGTTTCAAAACTAAATACAAAGCTATGGTAATCAAAAGTTATATAATGCCAGGCAGGCATGGCAGTGCATATCTGTAGTCCCAGCTACTGACTCAGCAGGCTGAGGTGGGAGGATCGCATGGGCCCAGTAGATCGAGGCTAGCCTGGGCAACATAGCAGAACCCTGTCTCAAAACAAAACAAAAATAACCATACTGCAACTTTGAACTTTTGGCCTCACCAAACAAACAGAATAATGTTTCAAACTGATAAACATCATGATAAACATAAAGATAAATGGATTATAATTGAGAATCTAAAAATAAGCTCTCATATTTACAGTCAATGGATTTTACACAGAATGGCAAAACAATTCAATGGAAGAAAAAATAATCTTTTCAACACATGGTACCTGGTTATCCACATGGAAAAGAATGAAGTTAGACCCCCACACCTTACACCTTTTACAAAAATTCTGATGGAATAAATTCCTGAATGTAAGGGCTTAAAGTATAAAACTCTCAGAAGACAACATAGATCTAAATCTTCATGACCTTAGATTTGGTAATGGTTTCATAGATATGACACTGAAAACGCAAGTAATGAAAGGAGAAGATTGATAAATTGTACTTCAGGAACATTTAAAACTTCTGTGCTTCAAAATATACTATTGAGAAGTGAAACAACCCAGTTAGGAGCAAACGTACGTAAAATAAGAGGATGATATTAAGTCTCAACTCATCTGGTGTAGTGGGGATTTAATATCTTTTCCACAGTGTTGTTCAGTGCATTAAATGTAAATAATCAAACGTGGTGCTTAGCACACAGGAATTGCTCAATATATGGTAGCTATAAGTTGGTGTAAATTGTGGTTTTTGCCATAATGTATGTTGTCATATATAAAAGATACTCCAGTTTATGACTGAGCACAATTTATTTAATGTTCTTTGCCAACTATAAGCTGTTTTGAATTTTTTCCATATACAATTAGTACTCTAGTAATTATATTTTCTATTTAGTATTAATACCTACAATAAAATCTTAAATATCACATTCTTGGGTCAAAGAATATAGACGTTTTAAAGGATTTTATTGCCCTCAAGAAATTGTATGTATTCATATTTGTAACATATCCTAAAAACTCTTCAATATTTGTTGTAATTTTCTTTGTTCCTTATTTGATACATTTTTTTTTTTTTTAAGACGAGGTTTCACCATGTTGGTCACGCTGGTTGGCTGGACTTGAACTCCTGACCTCAGGTGATCTGACCGCCTGGCCTCCAAACTGTTTGAATTACAAGCGTGAGCCACCACGCCCGGCCTATTTGATACCTTTTTAAGAGTATGTTATTTTCTTCTTTTTCTTCTCTTTCCCCTCCTTCCCTCCCTCCCCCCCTTCCTTCCTTCCTTTTTTTTTATATTTTGAGACAGAGTCCTGCTTTATTATCCAGGCAGGAATGCAGTGGCACAATCTCGACTGCAACCTCTAGCTCCCGAGTTCACACATTCTTTTGCCCCAGCCTCCCGAGTAGCTGGGATTACAGGCATGTGCCATCATGCCCAGCTAAGTTTGTATTTTTAGTAGAGACAACGTTTTTCTGTGTTGCCCAGGCTGGTCTTGAACTCCTGGCCTCAAGTGATCCACCCACTTTAGCCTCCTAAAGTGCTAGGATTATAGGCATGAGCCACCACACCCAGCCTGTTATTTTTATTTTTAATTTGAATTACTTTGATCAAACAATTTTATATAAATTGGAAGAAATGTAGGTTAATGTGCTTTGAATACATTTATATTAGAGTGTATCCTTACTTTTCATATTCAAGGAATCCTTTAAGCTCTACAAACATTTTTCCAAGTGGCCCTGTAATGCAATTTTTTTGCAGTCTTGCGTGTGTTTTTCTGTTATATT